AAGCGCTACTGATAAAACCCAGCCCAAAACCCTGGAGCCCTCCACTTCACTTTTTATTATTTTAGAAGAAATTTCTTTCTTATTCTAAAGAAGGGTTAAAGATTTCTCAAAATAATTTCTCCTTCTACACAAGCATAAACAAATATCTGAGTGAGTACTATTAATTTTATTTTTAATTTTTTTACTTTTCTCTTTTCAATGAAACTCATATTTAATTTGTATATAGGAAAAAATATTCTTATTATTCAACATGAGAAATTTTTAACCCTTTAAAGAAATAGTGAGACAATAGAAGAAAAAAATATAAAAAAGTTTGAAATGTGTTATGTAATGTTGGAGCGGTGGTTCAAAGGTGAAGATGGCATTGGCTATGGTTAGGCTTGAATATCATGAAAAAGGTTTAATTACTCAAAAATTATTTTTTCTAGGGATAAGTTATTCTATTTAAATTTATCTTTATTTTGTTTATCTTTGTCTATCTCTCTCAACACGACATTAAATTATAATCTCATTTAACAGTAGAGATTTTTGTGATAAAATAATCTCTTTTACCATTTTCTTTCTCCTCACTACCTCCTTCTTTCTCTCTCCTCTCCTTTCGATGTACACAAACGAAGACAGAAATTCGTGTCTCGGAGAAGCTATAACAAGCGAAGACATGATGAACTTCAATGGCCGACGGGAAGTAGCCAAGTCTCAAACAACAAGCCATTAAGTATGTCACTCAACCGATAAATCATTTTTTATCTTTAGAAAGAAAAAAATTGAAGTTAACTAAAATGTTGGATTAACCATCATCAGAGTCTTTTTTTCTTTCTTGTGGAATTTGTTTCTTCGGTGTACTTTTAAATTTCTTTAGATTGCTACTTTATTTTTTTTTTAGAATACATCTTTATGCTTTCGTAAGGGTTGTCAAATTTATCTCTTCGTCTATGCTTGGGGAGAAGAGAGAAAGGGAGGGAGAGAGAAGTGGGTAAAATATTTTGTTTTAGGGAACAACAGAGACAAAGTAGTGGGATCCACCATTTGTAAAATTAAAAAAAATAAAATAATGTGGATCCCACTACTTTGTCTTTGTTGCATGAGATTAATAGATCCCTTTGTTTTATCCCACAAATCTCTATCGTTAGATGAGATTGTAATCTAATAGGTATAGGCATAATAAGGATAGACAGAATAACCTATCCCTTTTTAATTATAGATCAAGACATATGTATGATTTAGCTTACACTGGGTTTGAATTTGGAAATGAATTATTCTCCGTAACAGATAATTGGATAGTGCAACTATATTGGCTTCGTTGAGATGCTTCACATGACAAAGTTATGTTTTAGCTGGGTGGCAAATGGCGATGTTGGAATTTGGAATATCTAACAATGGTATTTGTTGCAACATTTAAAGGGTAGGCGACATCGACAGTAGGGGTTAATTTCTTCAAAATGGTATCATGGAACATTGGTTAACTGCTAGGTCAAGAAGATCTTTGTGGATAATGATAGCTGTGTCGATATAATCATATGGGATGCATTCAAGAAGATGAATCTGGATGAAGAAGACTTGAAGCCCCGTAAAACCACCCTGATTGCATTCAACGGTCAAAACACCTCCCCTAAAGGGTACATTGATCTTAGACTGACCTTGGGATCGAATGAGACATTCAAATCTGAAAGGATAAGGTTCATTGTTGTCGACTTCCCTTTGCCTAATAATGTTATTTTGGGAAGGCCAACTATCCATAATCGGGATATGTTGGTATCCACTAAGCATCAGAAGTTAAAGATGGTAGCTAAACATAACACGGTGGTTACCATTGGAGGAGATCAGAAGGAGTCTTGAGAATGTTATTTCAGGTCGGTAAGGGCTATTGAGGATGGGCCTTCATCTCCAACCTGGATTAGGGAGGGTGATCAAGCTGGTTAGTCTTCAATAGAACAGCAAAGACAGAAAAATTTTGTTAACATGGTAGAATTAGACATGAGAGATGACACTCAATTGCCTAGACCTGAACCTGATGGCGAACTTGAGGAAATAACAATAGGAGAGCACGAGCAGATAACTAAGATTGGAAAAGGCCTGGAAGATGAAGTGAAAGTTGAAATGATCAAGTGCCTTATGAATAATAAAGACATCTTCACATGGAAGTCGTCAGAAATTCCTGGAGTAAGTCCCACATTTTGTTGTCACAAGTTATCAGTATACCTGGGGGCTAAGCCTGTGGCCCAGCAGAAAAGAAAACTCGGCTCTAAACGTTGGCAGGTTCTGGAGGATCATGTGAAGGAGCTTTTAGAAGCCGGGTTCATCAGAGAAATACAATACACTATTTGGTTATCCAATGTCGTAATGGTGAAAAAACCAAATGGAAAATATAAGGTATGTACGGATTATACTGACTTGAATAAGGTATGTCCGAAGGATTCATACCCCATGTCGAACATTGATCAATTGGCGGGCAGTTCTTCTGGATTCAGGTTGTTATCCTTCATGGATGCATATTCGGGATATAACTAAATCTCATTGTATCTTGATGATCAAGAGAAAACAGTCTTTATCTCAGAAAGGGAGAACTACTACTACAACGTCATACCATTTGGATTAAAGAACTTGGGAGGCCACTTACCAAAGGATGATGAACTGAGTTTTTGAAGACCAGTTCAGAAAGAATGTGAAGGTATATATTGATGATATGATAGTAAAATCATTAGAGCCTACTGTGCATATCAAAGACTTAGAGCAAACTTTTGAAAAGTTGAGGAGGTATAATATTCGGTTAAACTAGGCAAAATGTGCCTTTGGAGTCGCCACTGGAAGGTTTCTGGGTCTCATGTTAACCCACAGAGGTATTGAGGCAAAACCGGATAAGTGTAGAGCCGTACTAGATATGCAAGCACTAAAAGGTTGGCTTCCCTTACCAGATTCTTGCCATGATTAGCAAAAACAACACTGCCTTTCTTCAGGTATGTAACATCCTAGGCGCTGACGAGGGCGGGGAGTGATCGGGGGTGCAAAAGGGCACAAACAAGGAGCGACTCTTGGCAGGCTTCCAGCGGCAGGAGTACAAGAATGAATCGAATCAACACCTTAAAGAGAGGGATTCCAGAGACTGTGCTAGTATGAGGGTAGTACAGTTGGGGATAACTTATAAGAATTAATTGGTACTACCTATACTAATAAGATGCATCTACTTTTCGATAACCCATAACGAAAGAACTCCATAGTTAAGCGTGCTTGACTTGCAGTAATTCTGGGATGGGTGACCTCCTGGGAAGTTTTTCCTAGGAAGTGTGTGAGTGATGATATAGCACACTGAAAAGTCTTATGTTAGTGTATAAGGATAGTCATTGATTCTTGAAGCGGTCGAACGTTACAAGGTTGTTGAGGAAGGAGGTACAGTATAGGTGGACTGCTAGAAGACTTCGAGCATATTTCCAAGGGCATAATGTGGTGGTCAGGACGAATTTACCGATTAGGCAGATCCTTCATAAACCATATTTGGCAGGACGAATGATGAATTGAGCAATAGAGCTATCAGAGTTTGATATCATATTTGAAAGTCGAAAGGCTATCAAATCTCAGGCTCTAGCCAACTTCGTCAGAGAGCTCATTTCGATCCAAGATGAAGATTCACTAAGTCAAGATGTTTGGAAAATATATGTTGATTGCTCCTCCAATGCAAAGGAAGTGGAGCCGGGATAATCATTGTAAGCCCTGATCGTATGTCAGTGGAATACTCACTCTAGCTAAATTTTAAAACATCAAATAATCAGACAGAATATAAAGCTTTCATAGCCGGGTTGCAACAAGCAAAGGAGCACAGAAACTTCAGGTGTTCAGTGACTCTCAATTGGTTACTTCCCAAACTGAAAGTAGCTATCAAGCCAAAGACCATTGATGACTAAATACCTGGAAGCAGCCAAGCGATTGATGACTGAGTTTGAAAAGGTGGATATAAGTCACATACCCAGGAATGAGAACAACTAAAAAAAATCATTAATTTTTTTTTTCTAATTTATTAAAATGTTATTTTAAAATAAAGTAATCATTAATTTATTTTTGTAATGCAAATTAATTAATTAAATTATTTAAAAATAATAGTTTTAGACTTTTATTATAAAAATAAATGAGGAATGTTATACTTACAACTTTTTTTTACAACCATATCTTAACACTGTTGATTTTTGTCAATCAACGGTTATGATTTTTGCAAATTAAACTCATTAATTAATTATTAATTCACAATAAATGATAACCGTTGATTGACGAAAATCAATGGTGTTAGAATATGGTTGTAAGAGGTTATAAAAAAAAAGATTGTAAGTATAACCTTTCTCAAAATAAATAAGGAAATAGAATTTAACCGATATAACTGAACTAATAATTTATCAATCCAAATTAAATTTGACCCAACCCTACTTCAGGTCAATTTAACCCAGTCCACACAAAACTGATTTGAAGAGGCTAAAGTGTCCAAGTTAACACCCAATTAATAATTAATTGACTAACACATTCTAACTCAGTTAACAATTTGAGCACAAATATCATGTTCATTTAAAGTAAGCATAACTATACAACTTTTTTTTTTGGGAGATTCATAACTATAGAACTCTCGGTATTACTTTGCTATACTAAATTTTGGTATTAATAATTCGCCTTAACTTTCGAATAGGATAATCAATTAATGTAGTAATCGTACTTAATATCTGTCCAAGAATTTCTCTGAATAGGAAAAAAAAATACTTGTATAAATCTTATTTATACAAATCAAGTATATTAAATCAATCAACACTCAACAAATTATAACGTGACACAAAAATTTCTGTAATTATTTAACTTTTTTTTTTTTTTTTTGATAACATAATTATTTAACTTTAAATAACAAAAGGTTGATTGTTGATTAGTTTACATATAAGCATATTCTACGATAAATTTAAATTTAGAGTCTCTCTTTACTTTATTTGATTTTATTTCTTAAATTATATATAGGGCAAAATTGACACGCGAAGAAGAGATTGTGCTTCTTATTAGGTTATTCTCCTCTCTTTCCTCTTGTGCTATTAGGTTATTCTTCTGCTCGTTTTCCTCGGCGACAACTCGTCCTCCACACTGGTACTGTTCCACAATTCCTTTTCGTGGTTTTTTTTATTCTTGCACAGTTTTCTTCCTCTTTTCATATATTATTTTCGATTGTTCTTCACTATTCGCATGTTTCCGTTTGGATCTGTGTTTCTAATTGTGTCAGTTCGCTTAGAAAAATCGATTAGATGCTTGCGAGTGTCATGGGTTTTGTTTAATTCGCGTTTGCACATCATGGGTTTGTTGGGTTTGCTTGAATTGGGAACCTAAAATTCATAAGCTTTAATAGATGTTTTTGTGTGTGTTACGGGAGTATCAATGCTGAATTTTGTTAATTTGGGAGAAATTTGACTTTTTGTGCAGTCATAGATCACCTTCTATATGTTGCTTAATTTTTCTGTTTTGGAGCAGTGGGAACTGTGCACATGTTCTGTATGTTTCCTATTAAATATGAAAAGCTGATACTTGGTAGACACCAACTATTTAGCTTTGCATCCTTAGTGAAATTGGAGGAATAGCTTTTATCTCTTCGTGAATATGTGAGATATGAAGTTTCTGAGGAGTTTTATGTTTGGTGGTTTATAGTGATAATTTGTAAATTTATTGATAATTGTTGTCATGGTAGGAACATACTTATGTGTATTGTTTGTGTCGTTTCTTCATAGAAGTAGAGGCACTACTTACACTTGTTATACCATGCCTTGTTTTTCTCTTCACCCTATTTGTCAGATTGAATAATTGTTATTGCAAAATTGAAGTTTAGTTAGCCTTATATAGAATCTGGAACGCTTTGGTTTGATGAAGATTTAGCAAGTTTGTCCCATAGTTATCAAATGCGGATTGCGGTATGTCGCGGCCAACCCCGAAAAACGCTATAGCGTTATAGCGGGTTGCGGTTGCGAAAATAGCGGAATAGATATATGACAGAAATAATGACAAAAAGAAACATTTTTTAAAGGTAGAGATAGTATAAGTGGCATAGAGAGACGCGGATAGACTAAAAAACCCTTAAATTTTTTCCGTTACACATTTAGATTTAGGACAAAGTTGACATTTTGCCTTATGACAACAATATGGCCGCAAATGCGATGGCAATGACCGCTATTGCGTTCTGGTGTGGCGCAGCGCGGTTTTTTGCGGCGAGGCACCGCAATGCCCATACGGCGCGGCTCGTGGCGCTATTGCGGCGCAATTAACTACTATGGTTTGTCCTCATCTAGTATTGTAGGCTACTAGGCTCTGGTAAGTTTGAATTTTTTGCATGACACCTGCTAGGTCCCAATAATTTTCTTTTCTTTGTTTTTGGTTTCCGTATCCATTGAAACAAATTTGTCCATCTGTCAATAAAATAATCTTCACAGAACTTTGATAAACAATTACAAACTACTCTATCTAGGAATTAAGTTCCGGGTTGATTGATTGCCTGAAAATAGTATCCATAACATGGTTTTCTTCATCTTACCTAAGTCCTGTATGAAGTGTTTTCAGTTACATCATTAATGATATTGAAGTTGTATCTTTTCTTGCCTAGGGAATTGTGAACCATTTTGCTCCAACGGATAAACTTTATGCAAAATAGTGTATGAAAAACTCTCATTTGAAATTTTCACCCAAATTTTTTAAGGGATTTGTAATTGACTCTTGAATGAAATGAAAAGGCCTTACACCATAAAATGTCTCGCTGAAAAATTCCTGCAGCATTTCACTTGGGTTTTAATTCTTAAGCTTTAGCAATAATTTAAGCTGACACAAGTTGGTGTATAAACAGTTAGACGCATATGTTATTGTTTAGCTTCAAGGAAATGGACTTATTTACTTTTATCCTTTTGCTGTATAGATGCTAATAATCAGGAATTAGGACATTGGTCTGAAACAGTTTTGTTTTCTTTTTTAGTTTAATGGTGCTATTTTCCACTTTTAATCATAATATTGTGCTGTCTTTTGGTTCATGAGGAATTCCATTCTCTAACTTAGTGCTTGAAGTTAATTTTTTTTTTTTTTTTTCATTTTAGTTTTAACATGGACTAGTTTCTTCCACTTATTTATGTAGATTGTGGGATGGCTGATCCTGCATTGCTAATCCAAAGTTCCAAACATTATGTGCTAATGCTTGTTTTCCTGCATTTATGCAGTTTAAAATGTCAGATGTGGAAGAGTATTGTTGCTTTATTGGTGGCCTTGCATGGTCAACATCTGATAGGAAGTTAAAGGATACATTTGAAAAATTTGGCAAGCTTGTTGAGGCAAAGGTATTCAATAGTATATTATATCGATAATCATTATAGTTCTTGCAGCCGGTATTGTCATCACTCAGTATCTTATTTCTTGTTTGTGCATGGAAGTTGGTTTATGCTTTTCTTTTAGATGTGATCAGAAAATTTTCTTTTCTACCTTTTCATTTTCGGAAGAAAATTGCAATATCTGCTTAACTTTTTTATTACCAAATCAAATAAACAAGATAAAATAAATCGGTGTAATATTATTAAAAACTTAAAACTTTTTCTAAGCATAATATTTAATTTGGAGATTGCTAACGTTCTTTTTCATCATATTTGATACAGGTGGTTGTTGACAAATTCTCTGGGCGCTCTCGTGGTTTTGGATTTGTCACATTTGATGAAAAGAAAGCAATGGAAGATGCTATTGATGCTATGAATGGGATGGATTTAGATGGGCGAACTATTACGGTTGATAAAGCTCAGCCCCAACAAGGATCAACTAGAGATGATGGTGATCGCTACGAAAAGCGGGGTCGTGATCGTGGTCGTGATCGAGATTATGGAGGTGGTCGAGGATCTAATGGTGGTGAATGCTTTAAGTGTGGTAAACCTGGTCATTTTGCTAGAGAGTGCCCTAATGAGGGGGCAAGAGGGGGAAGATATGGTGGCAGGGAAAGTAGTAGACATGGTGGAAGCAGTGGTGGTAGTCACTATGGTCCAGATAGAAATGCAGATCGTTCTTCTGGTGGGCGCAGCAGGGATTCTGGTAGTCATGGAGATTCTGGAAGTGATCGATATCATCGTGACCGTGATCGTGACCGTGCTGGACCATATGAACGACGGGGATCAGGAGGCTTTCGTTGATATAATTTAATCTTTTGATTGAGGTATGCGACATTAATCGATCTCTTCTTTTTACACTTTGTTTTCTTGGTTCTAATGAAATTTTTTTGTGACTTTTTGCAGCTTTGAAATTGAAGGGGTCGCTGTTAATGCTTCAACTTTCTTTTTCATTCACAATGTTCTGGGATTGTTGTTTGGATGGATGAATGATAACCAGTGTTTAGATATGCGATACTCAGCTCGTTTCAAACTCTTTTATGTTCCTAAATGCTGATCTTTTGGTCTGTTGAAACCTTATGATGATTGACTTATGGTGAATTTTGATATTTTGCAATATGCTATCAATAATTGCTGCTGGGTATCCTGTGAATTGTGACTTTCATGCATAGGGAGTTGCATATGTGACATATTTGCTGCTGGATTACCTGATTCAGTTTAAGAGGTATTGGAAAGTTTTGTGGTGTTGGATGGATGGGTCGGAAGGACCAAGATGGAGGTCCAAATGTGGAGTTTTGTTTCTTCTCATTGGGAGAGAACTTTTAAAAGTAGAACGCCCTTTTGGCTATCCTGTTTCAGGATCTTTTGAGTAAAAAGTAGTCAAACGGGTAAATTATTGAATATTTGTCTCATATACCTACTTTCTTATTTACTAGATTTCTGTTTTGGTTTGTGCTTTATTAATGTTATTGACCTTTTGGCAGGATTCTTGGCTAAATGTGGTCTTTTTGGATTCATCATTGGGTTCCTTTGTTGCTAATTGGACATGCATGGTTTTTTAAACTAAAAAATCTTTTCAGCTGCAACAGGCCTTCTGCAATTGCACTCAATATGCATACCATTCTTGTTTTCTTCACGGGGCACTGATGGAAGGGGGTTCCATTTTCTAATTGTGGCACATTGTTTGGAAGATCTTGATGTGTTGAGCAACTGCGACCCATTGTTTTTATACGTTATTGCTCTATTTGGTGGAAGATTGCCCTCATCCAACTTTTTACTGCCTGTATGTGATGTTTTGTTTGCTGAGATCCAGTTTTTCTTACCATAAAGCGATAGTCAAACGTGAGTTTGGTCCCACATTTCCATTCTCTTCAACCACAAGGTTGGGTTCACTAATATCAGATATGAGATTGCTGCGTTACCTAACTTCTGCACCATGATTATGCAAGGAAATTGGTTGTTTATCGCTAGTATTGTGTAGTTCGTTTATCATGGTCTGTGTTGTTATCTATGTTTCTATATCTATTGTCATCATGTTATATGCCAAACTCCTTTCGACCTATGTTTTCATTTATTTTGTTTGTTATGCCAAGTGGTAGATTTGACTAATTTTCATATTTGTACTGATTTGGTGAATTGTATGATTTATTAGTTGTTTTATGTTTCTTATCTTTTCTGAGTTATCCTTGTGTTACGTATGAAATGATTAGTGAATAGAAGGAACTGAATATTTTCTGTGTGCATGCATTTGCCCCGAAATTTATTAGGGTATAGTGTTGAATTCATCTCTCAATCCGCAATTTTTAGATTATATGTAGATGTGTGCCGAAAAGTTGATATGACATTGTTTAGATCCAAATGGAAACAATTTTATAGGGCAGGTTTCCACTTGAAACTTTCCGAAAAATAAATAAATATATATCGTGTTTTCTTCTTGAAATTATATACTTTATGTAAATATTAGAAACTAGCTAATAAAAGTTATAGATTCATAAAAAAATATAGATTGGGTAATATAGCTTTCATTTTTCTTTTATTATTTAGCCTGTAATTATTATTATTTTGTTTATAATTTTAGAGGATAATAGTTTTTCTTCTTTCTTTATAAAGGAAAATATCAAAATGGACTCCTTTTTAAAAGCAAAACTATTTCAACAACAAGGTAAGTGATATTAGAATCCATATATTGCCAAAGGTAGCATGTAGCGGGTTTGCTTTTTGAATGTGTATTGGCCACCGGTTTTACAATCAACGTTTGAAATTCTATCATATATAAACAATCGCTTGTAACTTGTAAGTTTTAATTCATAATCGCTATTGATTGTTATGTGCGCATTATCTTAACATCAAATTTTAACGGTTGGTTTTTACAAATATAATGTTTATAATTTATTGAGTTATATTTATTATTTAATTATTAATTTTAATAAATTATATCTGTCAAATTGACGAAAATTAACGGTTAATATTTAATATCAAATTTTTTAGTTTGACATGAGTGTCAAATGATCTTATTATATATATATATATATATATATATATATATATATATATATACTAAAATTATTTCTGCAGTCGCTTTACGTACAACAACGACAAGTGTATGATTACGATTTTTCACATTTAATGCTTTCATCTTTTGTATGATTATGATTTTTCGTATTTAATATTTTCACGTATATATGACAAATATTTGATGTAGAAATGTAAACTCCTATATATATATATTTCCTTCCTTATTTTAAAATAAACTCAATGCAATCAGCATTTCTCTTAATAATGATGTAAAAAGTCCGACCAGTTTTTTTGTTTTGTTCAAGTAATGATCACGAAATTGAAAGGTACAACATCTTATGACTAAAATGAAATGTATGCTTTGATATATAAGAAGTGTATGAATCTTCCATGAATCAACGTACTTCATTAACGTAGGGAGTCAGAGGGTGAGAACAGAAAAGTAAGAAATGAGAGGGTATTATTTTATGATTTATAGGTTAAAAACTAGGGAAAAATATTTTTTCACTCACTGGAGATAAAGTTATCGAGCTCAAAACGACGTCATTTTGAGTTATAAGATTAAAAAATCATAATGATAAAGACTAATATAACCCTATAATATATTAGAATTATAAAAATACCTTGATTTCTGCCTCAAAACGATTTGGACTCATCGAATATAACTCATCGATGTTGACTGGAGAAATCCTTTGTCATGCATATTTGCACAATGAAGTAAGAGTTGAATTCGGAAGGCTCATTGGCTCTGGCATTGTCAAAGAGCATTCAAAGAAAGCAACATAAAAGCAATGTTATAAAAATCAGACCGATTCAGCTGGGTCGACCCGAAAACCGGTGAACCGGTCATGTAATCGGTCCAGTTTTTATATTGGACCGGCCATGTTATAGAACCGGTGCGACCCGACCGATTTTCGTAAAAACCGATAACCCGGTCGGTTCAACCGGTGACCTAGCCCGGTCTATAAAAAAAAACTAATTTATTTTCATAAATTAATGTCTTCTTTTTATTTTACTCTCAAACACAAATGATTTGTTTTCTTTTGAAATATTTGAGTGATTTGTAGCTTATTAACTTACATAGATTATGTACCTACAACACTAATATTATGTTGATTATGTAATACGCAGGGAATTTTAATTTGATTTATAGTTAGAGATGTCGTTTACTGAACCTGAAACACTAGTATCACAAATATTATATGTTTGATTGATCTTTTGTTGGACAATGATGTGTAATTTATTATTTTCATATTAAAATATTTGAAATTGGTATATTTTTTTACAAGTATTTAAGTATATTTATAATCTTTTTTAATATAAATTATAAATTTACATATACTTTTTCTCATCATGCAGTTGAACCAGTGACCCATAACTTTGACCGAGTCAATAAACAAGCCGAGTTTAACAACGTTGCGTAAAAGAACTGAAATGTGAGTAAGAGTAGGCAAACAATAGTGTTCATTTTTCTATAAACCCAATTAACTTGGTTTGGTGGTTGGGCCTAACATTATAGCTTCAACCATCCAGCCTCCAATCATCACTACAGAAAAAAGTGAGATTTCGTTGTTGCGAGCATCATGAGAGGAAGTCTTGAACAACAACAATTGTTCGATACAAAGACACAGGATGGAATAAGGAAAGATTTATCTTGTTTAAGACACTCTTTTAGTGGAAGGTTTTATATTAAAGGGTAATCACTCATCAATACACATTTAAGGTAGTCTTTCAATGATAATAGGCCTAAATGGTGATAATTTAGAGACATGCTTTAATTTGTTTAATAATTCATCAGAGTTCATAAATGAATCCAACAATGAGATATACCTAATTTATCTTAAAGCATTCTCATCTTAAAAGTAGGTCCTAAAATTCAATCTTTACCAAGAGTAATGGATTGAGTTCAAATATCACTGAATAACAAGATGTAATTAATCATAACTTTATGGATGCGAGTACTGAAGTTTGTAATACAAAAATTCAGGATAGTATGCAATACACGCGAAAGCCACAGGGCACAGGCCACTTTGACAATAAGCAAACCACCAAAACTAGCATTCTCTTCATGTAATTCCCTATAGTTTAAAAACATTCCACTCAAAGTTCAGACATGCACTACTGCATTGTTGGTTTTCTTTTGGTGAGTTGGTCATTAACTTGGTCTGAATGTACTTCTATCTTCTCTACTTTTAGGTTTTTTGTGATTTTAATGCCCATGCGGTCAATTTAAAGCCATAAAGTATACAAATTGTAAGATAAAAAAATAAAGTGAAAATGAGAAAAATATTTCTTGTGGAGGACACACTCTCCTCATGGAGGTTATTATATAATACAAGGAAGACCACAGATAGGTAACCTTGATGATAATTGGTCTCAATGATGATAAAGAAGTGGTGATAGTGTGGAGAGCACTATGATGGGTGGCACCCTATTTAATAATTCCTGAAAAATTGAACCAACAATGGTTTAGCTTTTTCATAAACCTGTATTGTTGTCTGGTATGATTCAGTTCATCTAAGTCAGTAATATTCGTTCAGATATCACCAGGGAGGAGCATCTATTTAGATCCTTCTCAGTTTCTCATGATAAAAGGTAGGTATTGCATTCAAGTTTCTTAAGTGTGTTTAAACTTAAAACTCTGTTTAGTTAATATGAAGTAAAAAAGTCTACTATTGGCGTAAGCAGCATTCAGACTCAAAAGTTCTGAATGATAAACTTAGAGAATACAGATATATATATAAGTTGATGTAGTGGTGGGGTTTTCTAAAAGGAGGGACTAGTGGTTCATTCCACATGCTAGGTTAGTATCAGTCCCTCTATTATTGATTACTAACAATAAATAATTAAACATAACTTTATGGATGCGAAGATCGAAGTATATATGGTTAAATAATTCAGAGGAGTAAGTATTCCACAAGAAAGCCACATGCCACTTTGAATATGAGGGAAAAGAAAAAAATCCAAAACTAGCATTTTCTTGCTGCCATTCTTTCTAATTTAGAAACATTCTTAAAGTGGAGACATGCATTATTGCTATGTTTATTGTTAGTTTTCCTGTAGTGGGTTCGTCTGAATGTACTTCTTTCTTCTCTGCTTTTAGGGCATAGAGTAATCTTATACTTTTATTGTGCATTCCATTTCTCCTATTTTAAATTTTAAATGCCTTGAACTTCATTTCATTTGGGACTCATATCTGATTCGTTTCCCTTTCCTTTCATAATGCTGCTCATAGGTTGTGACAAGTTATTAGGTCTTGCTTTTTCAGGTAGAGTTATAGTAATCCACATATAGACAATCCTTTTCCTGTTTCCATCCAACAAAACCAATGCTCAACCCCATTTAGCAGATGTTTAACATAATACTAACAGAAAATGCAGAATCATCTGTGTGAGTTTACTTGTTCTTTGACTGTAAAGGTGAGTCAAACAATAGGTATATATTGATACTGTCCATAGTAAGGGCAAGACTAATTTTAACAAGAAATTTATATGTGAAACAAGACATTTGACTTAGATTTCCTCTTTCTAATAAACATAAGGTATAAGCCTAATGGTTATATTTATCTCTGTAATTAATAATTAATTACCGATTTGACCTTGATTATAAACTATTTAAAAAATTTAACCTCCTCACAAAACATAACACCAATCTGCCCCTGTTTGACCGTTGACCACCAAGCCTACCCGGGTACACCTCTCTGTACCCGGGTATTTTTTGAAAATTTTTGTATACCCGGGTAGGGAGGAGTGTACCCGGGTATTGTTCTTCGTACCTGAGAAATTGATTGAATTATTTACCCGGGTAGAGAGGGGTGTACCCGGGTAGAGAGGGGTGTACCCGGGTAAATCTTCGACCACCCATTTGGTACTTGCTATAACTGGGGCAACTTGTAGCTGATGGATATAAGAACAGATATGATTTATTTGATTTTACCACAAGTTAATTATATTTGCGGATGTGTAATTAATTGTTTCATGGTAATTTTTTTTCTCTCTCTTTTTTATAGCTAATGAGATAGATCAGTATTATCAAGTTAAGCATGCCTAACCAATTTGAAGAGCTTTTAGCTTTGAGAATGGATTTGGAATTTCCATACATCAACACTTTACTGCTCATCAAAGCGGTCCCTGTTCGTATCGATTATGATGGGGTCTACTTTTATGTACGTCAAAATCGCGCTCCTATATATAAATGTGGTACAGGGTCTATTGGGGAGAGTGAGACGGAAAGAAAATAAAGACATGGTTCATGGTACAGAAATTTAGTGTGAGCATGCAGCTTTTTATTTTACTGGTAAATGATGAATTATCACGTTCAGGGAAGACATGCATGAGACAAGGTTTGTGGTTGTGGATTTATAGTGTTAACTGATAATTCCCTTTCTGAAATAATCATTGAAAAATATTTGTGCTTTACAGACCCAAAAAAGTTGCAGAGGCGGAGCACGTGATAGTGGGTGCCTCCATATTCAAAGCTTGGAGAAGAAGAGTGGATGGGAGATCCAAAGAGTAATCATACCCGGGTGGTCGAAGATTTACCCGGGTACACCTCTCTCTACCCGGGTAAAAAATTCAAGTAATTTTTCAGGTGCGAAGAACAATACCCGGGTACACTCCTCCCTACTCGGGTAGACAAAAATTTTCAAAAAATACCCGGGTACAGAGGGGTGTACCCGGGTAGACTTGGTGGTCAACGGTCAAACAGGGGCAGATTGGTGTTATGTTTTTTGAGGGGGTTAAATTTTTGAAATAGTTTATAATCAAGGTCAAATCGGTAATTAATTAATAATAAAGGATTATAAGAGTAAAAAAGCCACAACAACTGACATGGCTGAAAAGAAAGAGAAACAGGAAAACATTCCATGGTGCCACAAGGTTAATTCAAGGATGATTATGTTGACAATGGGAATTCAAAAGTTGATGATATATGCAAGGTATATGCAACAGCGAAATTGGACATTTGAGCTTAAAGATAAACTTCTTTAACAAAGACAGATGATGTTAATTGCTATATTTTGCAGATCCTATCTGACTGTAGTGAAATTAAGGAGTAATAAATCCATTCTTGTTCTGTGAAGTAAATGAAATATGATAAAGAAGGAAGAAATTCATTGCTTTTAACTTTTCAGCTTTCCATATTAATACGTATAGGTTCCACTTCCTTTCACAGTTCAAAATCATACTAAAGAGTTATATGTGGAGTTTAATTATATTCTTATCTTGCTCTAAAACGAAACTAATTAATCCCTCAGAACCATGCCAGACACTTTTCTAATGGAGTTAGTATAGTACCTCAATGATCGTTATGCTTCGGGTATATATATATTCTCATAGTGTGTTGCATGGTGCAATGTCATATACAGATATAATGAAGAAATGATTCTGGATTTGTTGGTATTTTCATGTTTTTGAATATTATTTCCATGGTTATTTAAAAGGAGAGAAAAGTTACTACTATTATTGCTTATACTAAAACATTGTGATTATCTAGCAACACACAACATAGAGTACTAAAAATGCTACTTCATTCAGTTCACTGACACCAAATAGAGACAGAATAAGTGGCAAAACACCAAAGCACCATGAAGTCCTCAAAGAGAGCTAATTGTATTTTGTTCAAACGACTTAAGAAATCAACAACAAATCCTCAGGTCAAGGTGCTAAAAACTTATGCTTTAGTACATATGACGTGGGCTGTGTATCCTTTTTCAACATTGAAGAGAAAAAGAGAAAAGCAATGAGCTTGGCTAACATAAATGAAGCAAATGCAGGGGACAGGACACCAGAAATAAGTGTGTACTGAATAAATGCAGATGAGTCCAGAGATTGACATGAATATTACTCATCCCAAAATATGGGGGAAAAGAAAATAAAAGAAAAAGATAAAACATGTGTTCGATCCTCCCCGGTACATGATAGCCTTAATCCTGGACTCGCCTGAACAGGATTGTCTCCCGCGGAGGATACCTTTGATTTATTCAAAAAAGAAAAAGATAAAACAGTAAAAGAAAATAGAAAAAAGCAATAATAGGTCACTTTCATGGGAACGTTTCTTAAATTGCTGAAAGATAAATTGACGTGCCATGTTTTGGCTATTTGCGCTTCATGAAAGTAAGCAACCTGTGGCTTTTGTGTGGAGTGCACACTCCCTTCGATTTATTAATAACACACTAAAGTTGCCACTATCCTGTGGAGCAACCTGTGGCTTTTGTGTGGAGTGCACACTCCCTTCAATTTGTTAATAACACACTAAAGTTGCCACTATCCTGTGGTGTGCATACTCCATGAAATATAATATAATATATATATATATATATATATATATATATATATATAATCCTTCTAAATCTTTGAGTCTTTTCAATATTGCTAATATCAATTGAAAAATGTTTCATGTTGTGCTAGGATCTATTGATATGTATGGAAGACCCGAAAAAATGCAAAATTTACATTTAACATAGAGAAATTATGGAGAAAAGATCATTTCATGTCTGATTTTCACATAGTAACCTCATGTAGCCTTATGTTGGTAAACTACCAACTGAGATGATGTCAGGTGGGGACATTAAGAAAAGTCACCAAATACCTAAAACTTTTTTGGTGTATTTAATTGTGCTCTAATTATTTTGTTCTAGTTAATGAATATGTGCTTTCTATACTTTTATTGTTTTGAAAGTTAAAAGTTAAAACATAAAACAAAAACAACACAGACATGGTCTTTAAATTTGATTTCAAAAATCAAAAAAAGTACAATTTTTTTTTTTTTTTTTTTTACAAAACAGCCTTATCAAACGAACATTTTTATTTTGAAAATCAAAAAACTTTTTTTCAAAACAGATTTCAAACAAGCTTTATCTGCGAAACTTTGATATAAACTCGTTTATGAACGTATAAGTGTTTAATGCACAAACTTCACTGAATCAAATTTATTTACTTTACCTCTGAGCACATGTTGGTAAATGTACAACTATTTATACCTTATATTTTCTTATAGATTTCTTAATTTCCCTCGTTATAACATTCAAATAATAAACGAAAACTAAAAGCATGAATGAACCAAGAAAGATGAATGATACAGATTACATTAAGGTGGAATATCTGAGAGTTGGATCCACCTTTTAGTGATGAATTTTTAAACGCAAACCAGATTCATTATTTAAAGAAAGTCACAACTTGTAGCTAGTGCCCTCCCCACTATCTCCACTCCTTTATCAATATTTAGGTCCATGTAGTACACTACCCAAACTTGAAGATTCCTCTCTATAAATATTCTTCATTAGAAGCGTGTGATCTCCACAAGCTCTTAATATTATCATATTCCCATTTCATCCTTTTCCATCTTAGCATTTCACAAGTTTTCTCTTTTACCTTTGTCCTTCATGGCCTTCCTTGGAGCTAAAACCAATGGAATTTCACTTAACCAAGTTGAGATCCCTATCCATGCAATTGTTGTTGAGCAAAACCCAAGCCAAGGGGTTGAAGAGAGAAGCAACTTTGACTACTCTCAAAGGGCTCAATGGCTTAGAGCAGCAGTGTTAGGAGCCAATGATGGGTTAGTCTCCGTTGCCTCATTGATGATGGGTGTTGGAGCAGTTAAGGAAGACATCACTGCCATGGTTCTTGCTGGCTTTGCAGGGTTAGTAGCAGGGGCTTGTAGCATGGCAATTGGAGAGTTTGTCTCTGTTTACACTCAGTATGACATAGAGATGGCTCAGATTAAAAGAGATAGGGTAGCAAATATTAATAATAGTAATAATAATGATGATGAAGAAGCTCAAAGAGAGAAGCTTCCAAATCCATTTCAGGCTGCACTAGCATCAGCATTAGCATTTTCAGTGGGTGCTGTGGTGCCACTACTAGCAGCTGTGTTTATAAGGAGTCACAAGATTAGGCTTGGTGTTGTTGCTGCTGCTGTTAGCTTGGCATTGTTGGTATTTGGAGGGGTTGGTGCAGTGCTTGGAAAAACTCCAGTGAGATGGTCTTGTCTCAGAGTGTTAATTGGAGGTTGGATGGCTATGGCCATAACATTTGGCTTGACCAAATTGATTGGCACCACTGGACTTTGACTGCCATTAATTACTTGTCTTTTTAAGTCCTTTAATGTGTTTCTGCAGTAAAGTTTTCATTTACATATTTATATTATGTAAATTTAGCTTAATTTAAGGAATAATTATTTGTCTGAAAAATCAAATGAATTGGAGGTAATCATATTATCTAATTTTTTTAAGTGTTACTAACTTTTTTTATTTATTATTTACTGATCACATTTTAAATTATATGTTGGGCATTACAAAAGTACTAAACTAGTTTTACACTAAAATATAATTGAATAACAAAAGAAAATAAATAAATAAAATCAATTCTATAATCTAATCATACCCGGCAAGGTCATTTGCACCGGCCAATAGAAACCCTCAAGGTTGGCTACTTTCCTTTCTATATGTTTTATTGAGCTATCAAAGTGTTTTGCTTTTTTTTTTTTTTTTTGGTTTTCCAAGTATCCTCTGGCCGACCGTCGAAAACTAATCCTTTCGAGACAAGAGATCACATTATAAGTGGATAAACCTTCCCAACAAATCCTTTTTTCATACATATGACCTTAATAAACCCAGCTATCTATCAATTGTGCTGGGCTTATCTATCAATTGTGTTGGGCTTGTTGGTCAAAGTGTTTTGCTTTGTATTTGATAATCCTACATATATATTATCAATGTTTTGGAAATAAAAGGAGGATAAAAACTCTTTAAATCAGACTAATTAAAAGTCACAGTTTTAACGTAACACTTTAATAATTTTTTATGTTATTTTTATAGTAATTATATTGTAGAATTTATTAGTTTTAGATACTAAATTCATATTAAATTGGACTCTTATATTGTTTCTTAATTACATCTAGTGGAGATTATAAAAGAAGAACCACAGATTCATACTTAAAATTGGCGCGCTGGAGTGCTGGAAATTACATGTTTTTGAGAGAGACATTGAGTTTTAACTATGACTAAGTCCTGACTCGGGAGGGCTCAATTTTATAGTCAACACAATAAGTTAAAACTTGTGAGAATATCATGTGAGAGCCAATTTATCTCAAAGATATAATTATGGTCGGTATATTAAAAAAAAGTGAAAAAAGTTATTAATGACTTCTTGATGCATGTTGTTTTTTGGAAATAATTTGAAACAAACTAAAAGTTAAGAGACAATAGTTTTCAAAAAGATGGTGTATTTCTTTAGGGCACCATTTTTCTTTCTTTTTTATAGTTTAAAAAGTAACTAGGTATAGGTAGGACACACCTAAGTTACCGAGGAACGTTACACTTTAGAGAATGACAAGAGAATTTTCAGTTCTCGTGTCACGCATCCAATAAAGGACACGACACGTCACGCCACGCCGACACGTTAATTTTAAAAAATGTCATATTTCGATACGTTGGGACACGTTTTGATATTAAATAAAAATTTAATATATATAATATAATTTATATTTATTACATATAAGAGTCTATAATAAGTCATATAACCAATCAAATATTTAAATTTCGTAACATAAATAAAAATAAAAATAATATTTCATACTTTGTTAATTTTTCATGTCAAATTTCATAATAGAAAAAAATTAATTTAAAATTAATTTTTTTAAATTTAGTTAATAAAATAAAATTAAGATTAAAAAAAAAACGTGTCCGAACATTGATCGCATTTCGAAGAGTTAACCGCGTGTCGGACGCCTATTGGAGCGTGTCCGTGTCGGACACGTGTCCGACACGCTCATTTTTTAAAAATCAACGAGTCCATGCTTGCCTGATGAATACTAATATCATTCAAAATGAAACACCTCTATTTTGGATAAATTATTGATGTCTTATTTTGGTAGAACATAAATTTTTTGGTGTCTGGAAATCTTAATTATTGAGAATATAGTGGAATATTTATTTTTTGGAAATATTACAAAAAAATTATTTGGTAGGCCAAAATATTATCCGAAATTTTAGTTTATTTTTTTGAGTATATTTGTTTGATGAAAAAATATTGCTGAAAAAATAAGAGAATTTTACAAAAATAACCTCATAAAGTAACTATGCAGACATGATTAGAAACCCATGTTACAACACTGCAAAAAAAGGAAGGGTACAACTGTCCGAAAATTTTTGACAAGAAATCCTTACATTTGTATTCCAAAAATACCACCTCTTTGGTGGTATTTTCAGAAGGGAAAGTAGCACATATTTTCTTCATAAAGGCAATTTCTAGGTAGATTCGATGACTGGAAAAACAATGCAAAAACTCCTACGAAACATAGGTAACTACGTAACCTATTTACCCTTTCCTGGCATTCTTAAAAACATACTTCTACCAAATATATTTTCGAGAAGGAGAGGTGAATACATGATTTGATCTTATAGGTCTTTTCACTCACCTGGAAAGAATTTTCCTAGCTTGGGCCCGTTTGGTTGGAGGATTTTTTTTATTTTTCTGGGATTTCTTGGTTGGATAAATAGGAATGCATCATTTGGTACAAGTTTTTTAAAAAATTTTCAGGATTTTATTTTGTGTGTAATTTTTTAAAAAAAAAAAACCATTCAGGAATACCATTCAAAAGGTGATATTCTAGGATTTTTATGACAAGAGAAAATTTAATATAACTAAACATAGTATTAAAAAAATTAACCAATATTTCTGGAAATATGTTAGTTTACCAAAGAACTTTTTGATAACATTATCAGAAAACTCATTTTCTCATTATATTCCTGAAAATTGTGATTTCCAGATAAAAAAAATTTCCCCTCTACCAAACGTTACCCCAAGTCACCTTCTAGTCGCTGACATGATTTCTTTACAAGAATAGCTTACCACTTCGTCTTTCTAACCGTTAACTTGCTCTTTTATAAATTAGAAAGATAGCGTAAAACAGATTGACTTACTACTTCAATATTTGTATTTTGATGGTATTTATTGATGGGACTAAAACAACAATTAAAGACGACATAAATATCAAATGGACAATCAATTACATATTATAATTAACCACTCAGCCAAAATAAATCTCTTCAATTTCTCTCTTTCGGGAACAAGAAATGTACGTAGAACTAGTTGATAACAAAGCAAGCAAGTAATTAATTAAGGTTCTAAGATGAGAAACTAATCTTATTCAATGAGTGGTTGTAGCTCTCATAATTAAGACAAGTAAAAACCATGACCTAAGGGTTCATAATTCCAAACCGCTAGAGCCAAGTAATTTGGTTAACCCAAAAGTGATAGCCATAGCCATCCATCCCCCAAGAAGAAACCTTACACAAGATCTTATCTTAGGTGTCTTTCCTAGCTGAGCTCCCACACTTCCAAACACCACCAAAGCCAAGCTAGCCACTGACACAACCACAATAAGCCTTATCTTGTAATTTGTTACAAATGCAGCTGAAAGTAAAGGAACCAATGCACCTATAGAAAAAGAGAATGCAGAAGCCAAAGCAGCATGCAATGGATTAGGTAAAGTTCTCCTTTTCTCCAAGTCTTTTTCTCCTTTTTCACTACTCATTTTCATATCTCTCTTCATTTGACCAACCTCAACTTCATACTGAGTATACACAGAAACAAACTCTCCTATTGCCATACCACAAGTTCCTGCAACTGATCCTGCAAAACCAGCAAGTAGCATTGCTTTGACATCTCTTTTGACAGCTCCAACACCCATCATCAATGAAGCAACAGAAACCAACCCATCATTGGCTCCTAATACAGCAGCACGAAGCCATTGAGCCCTTTGTGAATAGTCAATATTGCTATGATCTTCGGTCACTTGGGTTTGCTTCTGATCCATTAATCCATTTGCTTGATTTGGAGCTGTTCCTACATGGTTGAGGGGTACCAAACTACTGGGTGCACCAGCAGCCATTGGTGACAACAACCAACAAAGGAGTGCAAGAAAACAAAGACAAGGCTTGGGGAATAAGAACGGAGATTCTGAGGGATAAATAATGAATGCGTCTTCTGTTTAAATGTATGCAGGGCTTGCTTAAACGTTTGGCCAAATACATAAAATATATAAATTTGATATTTGGAAGGGGCAAACGAAAGTCTTGACGTATAAATTAGGTATATTGCAAAAAATGCACCCGTACAAAATTTTCCTATCTCCCCCAAATTATATATATATATATGTGTGTTTTTTTGCGTGCGCGTGCTAAATGACTCTCCTTTTTTTTTTTCTCTCTATAGAGACATAAAAAAAAACCGCGACATAAAAAGACTGCATCGCTATTTTTTTATTTTTTACATATAATGAATCTCACCATATGTTGTCTCTATGTACAAAGACTCTCATGTAACAAGGCTACACACACAAATATAAATATATATATAATTTTTTTATTCTTTTTTTGCAACTGTTTCGATGAAATCTAACATAATTAACAGACAAATATTTCTGCAGTTACTGCAGATAAGTTATCTGTATTTACTTCCGAAAGAATATCGTTTTGGGATTAAAAGATTAAAAAATTATAATTATAAAGGCTATAATAACCCTGAAATAAATTAAAATTAAAAAAATACCGTGATTTCTGTCCAAAACAACACCGTATTAGACTTACTACAGACAACAAAAATGAACCTTATAACTAATTGGATTTGAGGTTAGACCCATATAAACTTTGTTAGACTCATATTAAACTCTCATTAAGGAGAAGTTCGTTATGGGTTACATGCATATATCATTCTTCACTCGGTCAATCTCACGGACGAAATTAAATCCAAATATTGCAATTTGTAAATTAAAAAATATGAAACGCTAGTCATTACTGACCTTTCATCACTACAAAAATATATAGAGATAAATATCAAATCGTGAATGGCAAAATAGTTTATGGGTTTTATATTTCTCATTGAGCATGAGAATTGAATTCTCATGTTGTAGAGACAAAAAACATGTAGGACCCGTATGCAAGAAAAAATTATGTGTAGGACTCACGTTGGCACGAAAATCGAAGGGTGTGTAAGAAAATTCAAATTCTCATGTTAAATGAGAATTATAAAACCTATAGTTTATTGCTAGAAAGGCCATCGCAGTGTTTGTATTAGAAATATTACTCTACGAGTAGTTGTATCCTTATAAACTAGTCCCGAGTTACAACCCTACCTTTTGGAATTTAAATACAAATATTAACCTGCATATTATCAACAGCACTTAGATAACCAGTAAATATGATCAAACAAACTCCACACAAATCCAAATACATCAACGTAACTAAAAACCATTCCAAGTAACTAATGGTCGACATGCATTATATAAATCAATGAACTTAATAAAATCAACATAACTACATCCTAGCTTTCCTCAAAATCGTGAAACTTGTTTCAACGAGAAAAGTCCTGATGAACCATGTGTGAAAAAGGATGCAAGAGGCGGCAATAACTTTTCTAAACTTTATGTAAATGATTTGGAGGTATCATTAGCCATAAAAAGTTGGATAGTGAGCATTTTGACAAATACTTGGGACAAGCGAATATTATTTTAATCAAATGAAATATATTTATCCTCAAAATCATATTTTCAAAATCACTCAATTAAAAAATTAACATCTTTTAAACACTTAAAACTCTAAAAATATAAACATATCATAAATTTCATAACATAATTCAAACACTTATATTTACCTGCTTGAATGATAATAGCTCCAATGCCATAATTTGATGCGCCAGTCTCAACTATAAATTGGGATTTTAAGTTTGGTAACCCCAAAATTGGTGTAGAGGCCATTGCTTTTTTTCAGCTTGATGAAGGCTTTATTAGCTACATTAGACCAAACTATCTTGTCACCCTTCAATATATCAGTCAATGGTACTGCTATTGCTGCATACTAATGAACGAAAAGCCAATAGCAACCGGTTAAACCCAAGAAGGCCTTCAATTGCTTCACAGGTTGTGGTTGAGGCCATTCTATAATTGCTCCTAGTTTCTTGGGATTGGCTTTGACTCCAACCGATGAAACCACATGGCCCAAATAGCATACTTTTGGTATACCAACTCGCATTTACTGAGCTTAAGGAAAAATTAATCATCCTTTAAACACAGAAACACTTGCTCCAATTATATGGGTCTCCACTTTCGGACTGTAAATCAACACATCATCGAAAAAGACAATAAAGTATTTTTGCAAATATGGGCGAAAAACTTTGTTCATCGCTAACTAAAAGGTTGGCGACACATCTGTTAATTCGAATGACATCACACAAAATTCGTAATGACCCTCATGTGTATGAAAGGAAGTCTTGTATATGTCCTCCCTCTTCATTCGAATTTGATGGTACTCACTGCGAAGATCCAGTTTATTGAACACATTAGCTCCTGGCAACTCGTCTAGAAGTTTATCGATAGTTGGAAGTTCAAAGCTCGATAGTCTATACACATTCGCCAAGTTGCGTCTTGCTTCTTAACAAGTAACATTGGAAATGAAAAAGAGCTTTGGCTGTGATTAATGTGGCCCACAATTAGCAAGATTGATACCTGCTTCTCAATCTCTTCTTTCTGACGATAAGGGTAATGATACAGCTTCACGCTGACTAGTTTTAATCCTTCAATCAGGTTGATGGCATGATCTACTTCTCGAGCTGGAGGCAGTTTGTCTGGAACTGCAAAAACTAATTGAAATTTAATCAAAATGGACCAAAGAGAATTAGGTACCTAATCTTATAGGCCAAATAATTCTGGAGTTGGCTCATTTGACTCCTCCAGCTTCTGATTATCAGCTAGCACGACATATTGTTGTGGGCTTATCAGTTACAATGATCTTTTGATTCTGGACTCCAGTTAACTTGACCCACTGACTATTAAGGAGAAATTCCATTGACATTGTGTTGTAATCATGGGTGACACGGCTCAATTAACTAAGCCATGGCATACCCAAAATCACATTCAGTTTAGCTAAATCCAACACCGACAAATCAGTTACGAAAACATGGCCTTACATATAGAATTCAACATTTGGACACTTCATTTGGCACGTCAAAAATTCACCATTGCTAAAAAATACACGCATATTATAAGCACGAACAATGGACAAATTTAACTCCTTTACTAGCTGAGTGCGAATGAAATTGTGTGATCTTCCTGAATGTTTGAGATATTAGTGGAAACAAATCAGGGAATCATATTGATTGTAATTATGTATCAAATATATATCATAAAAAGAGCAACAAATTACTTGATATTCTTGATTGTGGGCAAAATAATCTGACCCAACTATTGTATCATCTCCTATTTATATCAAAGAGAACCTCCCTCATTGATCATCATTGAGAGGGGGAGAAACTTATGAGTGTGGATGTAGGCTAAAATGGCTGAACCACAATAAATTATGTGTCATTTTTATTTTAATCCCTTTTTTATTTTAAAAAAAAAACCCCTCTGTTATCCTAAACCTAAACCATAGCCGCCGCCATCTCTTACCTGGCCATTGCCGTCGTGCCTGTAGCTCCAGTCGTCGTCCAGATTCAACCGTCAAGCCTGTTGCTCCGGTCATCCCTGTTTGCACAGATCTGCGGCCGCGCCACCTTCTGCTTCCAATTCCGACCAGCAGCCCCGCATCGTGGCCTCACCATCTTGCACTTTTCGGCGTCCGAGTGTCATCCACCGCCGACTTCCAATTGTCATCCACTGCCAGCGTCCTCCTCTATCATCTCCGTTTTTTGGTTCGTTGTAGACTTGTAGCCACCGTATGGTTTATTGTTAGCTTTGGTTGGCTGCTTTAAAAAAAAAATATTGTTTTTTTGGGTTGTTTGCCTTGGTTTGTTTTGTCACCAGGTGGGTTCTAGTGTTTCTGCGCGGATATATTCAATTATTATCCTAAAAAATCATGGCAACTTCGGATAAGATTAGTGCCTCGGACACTGGACGCCTCACCATTATCCTCCTTAATGGCCGGAATTATATGCCATGGAAGCGTGCCGTCACTGTTGCTCTTGGTGGCCGCTCCAAAGAATCACACATCACTGATAAAGCTCCGGCCAAATCTGATGCCACTTATTCTGCTTGGAAGGCATCCGACAACCAAGTTTTGACTTGGCTGTTTAATTCAATGGAACCCGATATTTATGTATTGTTTGCATATTCTGACACTGCCAATGACCTTTGGGACTCGGTTGCACAACACTTTGGGCATGCAAATAATGCATCTCGTATCTTTGAGCTTCAACAAGAAATTCACACGACCCATCAGCTTCCGTCTCAATCATTCACTGATTATCTTGGTCAATTGAAGAAAAAATGAGATAAGCTCCGACAATACCGACCCACAGCAGCAGCGGTAACTGAATATGTCACCTGGGAAGAGCAAGATCAAGTGTTCACCCTTTTGGCCGATATTAGGCCTGAATATGAGTCTCTGAAGCGTCAAATCCTGATGACAACTCTGTTTCCTTCTTTCACTTCTGTTTGTAACATCATTCACCAAGAAGAGACGCGTTGTCGTGCCACGAAGCCAATATTTCTTGCTACTGGTGATCGCATCGACAACTCTGCACATCACTCTTCTACTCATGAGTCTCCTATGCACGGCGCCAGTCATTCCTCCTCTTCTACATGTCATTTGGGTCGTTCAGGTATAAAGGGACGAGGGAGAGGTCGTGGAAGTAACCGGTACCACTGTGATCACTGCAACAAAGACGGTCACTCCCATGAACAATGTTGGCTTCTACACCCACATCTCAAATCATCTAGGGATCGCATCCCTAGTGCACACAATATGGCTTCACAATCACCTTCAAGAGAATTACCCAATGACCTCGATTCTACCTTGTGGAAACTTGCCATTCATCTACAAGAATATCTGAACCTTGGTGCCAGTGAAAAATCTTCGGATACTAGCCACTTTGTTCATGATGGTATGTCTTATGCTTTTGCCAATTTTTTTCCTCGATCCTTTATTATTGATTCTGGTGCTACGGAACATGTGTTATGATTCCACCCTACTACATGATATATCTGATACTGATCAAATTGCTCCTATCACTGTTCCAAATGGAAATAAGGTTCCTGTTATGGGTCGTGGGAAAATTGATTTATTTGGCAGCACATTAGATACTTTATTTGTTCCATCCTTATCTGCTAACTTGTTATCGGTTGCTAAACTTACAAAAAATCTACATTACAATGTAACTTTTTCTGCAAAAAAGGTAATATTTCAAGACAGTCACACCGGGAGGAAGATTGGTGAAGGAGCATATCAAAATGGTTTATATTTGCTGCCTATATCTACCCTAGGTCTTTCAACTGCTTGCTGATCGGATGAGACCCAACTATGGCATTGGCGTATGGGTCATCCCTCAGATAAGATTTTGGCTTATATGTTAATCCAAAATTTGTTATTGATTCTAGCACTTGTGACATTTGCCGTTTTTCTAAAATTCATAGGTTGCCATTTCATAGTAGTACTCATGTTTCTTCTACTACTTTTGAACTTATTCACTCCGATGTATGGGGTGCAGCCCCGGTTGATTCTTGTAATGGTTTTCGCTGGTTCATTACATTTATTGATGATAAATCTCGTTGCATGTGGCTTTATCTATTGCGCTCCAAGTCTGAAGTGTGTAATATTTTCCAAGAATTTTATCAAATGATTAAAACTCAGTATGGGGTGAATATTCAAATTTTGCGTAGTGACAATGGCACACAATATGTTAATTACACAATGCAAGCATTTCTTAAATCTATGGGAACTATCCATCAATTATCATGTGTTGGTACCCCTCAGCAAAATGGCATTGCTGAACGAAAGAATCGGCATCTACTAGAGGTCACTCGTTCCTTGCTCTTTAATGGCAATCTTCCCTCTAATTTTTGGTCTTATGCAATACTCACAAGTTGTTACCTCATCAATCGCACACCGAGCAAACAACTCCATTATAAATCACCCTTGACCGTTCTTTATGGTCGTGATATTGATCTGTCTCACTTACGAGTATTTGGATGTGTTTGCTTTGTTCATCTGCATAATACTAACAAACTGGAGCCCCGTGCCACCAAGTGTATTTTCCTAGGATACTCCACTGTAAAAAAGGGCTACAAATGTTATGATGTTGGTACCCAGAAATTATGTATTTTTCGAGATGTTTACTTTGATGAGGCTTCTATGTACTTTTCCTCAAAGGATAAAAATCAGGGGGAGATTGGCATTGATACACAATTGGATTTTTATCCTAGACCGGTTTCATGTGAAACAACTAGTATATTACCACCAGTAGAGGCTGAACCTACAACAGATGTATTACCACCAACAGAGGTGGAACCAATCACAGATGCAGTACCACCTCCTGATGTACCTCAAGGAGAGTTTTCAACCTCTAATCCACCGGTAATATCGGATCAGACTGTACGACGGTCCTCAAGAACAGTTAGACCATCAATTAAATTAAAGGATTATATCTCTACAGTTGTCACTTATCCTATTCAAGACTATGTATGCCTCGATCATGTCTCTGGTGGACACAGGACTTTCCTAATTGCGATTGATAAGCATCATGAACCTACTACCTTTGAGGAAGCAAAGTCAATTCCAGAATGGCAAGCAGCTATGAATAATGAACTTCTTGCCCTTGATAAAAACCAGACTTGGGAAATTGTATCTCTTCCACATGGCAAGAACACTGTTGGTTGCAGATGGATTTACAAAATCAAATACCAAAGTGATGGGTCTATTGAGCGACATAAAGCTCGCCTTGTTGCTAAAGGATACACCCAGACCTATGGTGTAGATTATACTGAGACCTTTGCGCCAGTAGCAAAAATTAACATTGTAAGGGTCCTTATGTCAGTTGCTATAAATCTTGGATGGCCGCTCTTCCAAATGGATGTTAAAAATGCTTTTCTGCATGGAGATCTTGAAGAGGAAGTCTACATGAACTTGCCTCCAGGTCACCCTTTTGCATCTAAACCTGGTAAAGTGTGTAAATTAAAGCGTGCCATCTATGGGCTAAAGCAATCTCCCCGTGCCTGGTACGGAAAGTTGAGCAAGGCACTCACCACTTTTGGGTTCATCAGAAGTAAATCAGACTACACTTTATTTGTTAAACACTGGGATGGAAATACTATTGTTGTCCTTATCTATGTAGATGATATAGCCATATCAGGGAATAATATGATTGAGATAGAAAAATTGAAGAAGTATCTCAATATGACCTTTGACATCAAGGACTTGGGGCGCCTAAAGTACTTCCTGGGAATCGAAATTGCTGAATCTAGTAAAGGGCTATTCATCTAACAAGCAAAATATGTATTGGATCTTCTGAAGGAGACAGGTAAATTGGCATCCAAACCAATTGATACCCCTATGGAACACAATGGTAAGTTTGAGAAAAACTCCACTCCACTATCTGACCCAAGACAGTTACAGAGACTTGTTGGCAAGTTAATCTATCTCACAATTACTAGGCCAGACATATCTTATTCGGTTAGTTACATTAGCCAATTTCTACATAAACCAACACAAGATCACATGAATCTAGCGGATCGGATTCTCAGGTACTTAAAGTCTTGTCTAGGAAAAGGCATCTGGTTTAAAAAAAATGGGCACACTAACATTATTGGGTATGTTGACGCTGATTGGGCAGGTAGCCCACATGACAGACGATCCACCTCTGGTTTTTGTACTTTTGTTGGAGGCAACCTTGTGACTTGGAAAAGTAAAAAACAAAGTGTAGTATCCCGTTCCAGTGTAGAAGCAGAATATCGTGCTATGACCTCGGCCACCAGTGAACTCGTTTGGCTTAAAGATCTCCTTTTTGATCTTACCTTGAAGCAAATAAAGAATCCGATTAAGTTGTATTGTGACAACCAAGCAGCTATTCATATTGCATCTAATCCCGTGTTTCACGAGAGAACTAAACATATTGAAGTAGACTGTCATTTTGTTCGAGAAAAGATTCAAGCAAAAGTAATTGAGACACCTTATATCCGAAGTGAAGACCAATTAGCAGATTTGTTGACTAAGGCCCTTCCTAAGAACTCTTTTCAAAATATCATTGCCAAGCTGGGCTCGATTGACATCTTCGCATCAGCTTGGAGGGGGAGTGTTGGAGATATTAGTGGAAACAAATCAGGGAATCATATTGATTGTAATTATGTATCAAATATATCTCATAAAAAGAGCAACAAATTACTTGATATCCTTGATTGTGGGCAAAATAATCTGGCCCAACTATTGTATCATCTCCTATTTATATTAAAGGGAACCTCCCTCCTTGATCTTGAGAGGGGGAGAAACTTATGAGTGTGGATGTAGGGCAAAATGGTTGAACCACGATAAATTATGTGTCATTTTTATTTTTACACTGAATCCACCCGTTCTCGAATCTACTTATCAACAACTATAACAGAAAAACTCAATAAATGAGGATTTGCATTTGCTGATAAAGAATGCAAGGTTGCATCCACTCTCTGATTGTTGCTTCCTTCTACACCCCATATTATCTTCTCTTCTTGCTCATTATTGGAGTTATCATCAATGTCTCCAAATAAGAATAACACCTTACCTTTGCATTTATGCATAGCATTCCACCTTTCATCACAATTATAGTATAATCCCATATCTATTTTACGCTGCAATTCTTCAGGTGTCAATTTTAATTTTTTTATACGTAATTGAGAGGTTGTATTAGAGGGTAAGGCTAAGGTTTGATTTGAGGGTAAAGTCAAGGCTCTTTTTTGGGATGAAGTTGCGAGATTTAAAGAAGTGGTTTTGTCAGGTGTTACAGTGGAATGGTCATAAGCGATAGATAAACGCATCGCTTGGTGCAAGGTTGAAGGCCGATGTAGTTGAATTGCACTGCGTAATTCCGATTGTAAACCAGAAATAAAGAACATCATTAAGAGATTATCATTTACATCTGACACTTGATGCATTAGCTGCTCAAACTCACGTACATAGTCTTGTAAAGAACCTGATTGTGTGAGTCGTGATAGTACCTCATGAATGTCTTTATGAAAAGAGAAACTAAACCTTTCTCGCACTACACGTGTAAGATCATCCCAAGAGTTAATGGTACCACTGTTGTACATCCATTGGTACCAAGAAGTGTTGCTCCTTTTATCTTGAGTCCCTCCAGTTGCACCTTCAAAGTTTCAAATGTACGCTGAATCTGGAAATACATTTATGTGCGAAAGATCCAATTGTTGGGATCTTCGCGCCAATAAAAATGGGAATTTCCATCTTGACAGTTTTGAGTTTTTTTGAACAGATGCATAAATGCTGATAAAACCTGAAAGTCAATAGCAGCTGAACAAATGGCAAAAATTTTAAGAATTGATGAACAAAAGCAAGTGCTTACACATATTATAGTTTGGTCATGTATTCATGCTCATTATAAGTTATAAAATAATCTTAAAATGAAAATAAATTTTGTAATGTTGCATAAAAAAGTTTAATTTCAAATATATAGCCAAAAAAATGATGATATAACTAGGTTTTTGAATCCAAAATTTTATACTCAAACGTACTATAAATAAGCCTTTCACAGGATTTTACTTAAATTTTTTGTTTCACCATTAAAACTAAATTTAGTCACTATCGCAAAATTATGTATACATGAAAAAATTTCACAACTCACAAAATATGAGTATATCTAGCATTTAAGAAAAATTGATTACAATATGGAAGTCACCAACGTCATAATATATTTCAAAATATTTATGCTATACTTTTTCTTTTGACTCACGCAAAATTTCAATATTAAATGCAACGAAATATTTGTTTAGAGCATTTTTTTAGTTCAAATACTCTAAAATATATTAATATGACTAACTGAGAATTGTAAGAATGTCATAATTAAGAGTATTATTCTCAAGTGATATGTATTAAATTTATCAATTTGTCAAACACAAGGGGAATAAAATTCGCTGGAACTTGTGAGAGCATTTTCTTGGATTCATTGTTATAAAAGGCATAGCTAAAGCATATTCCAATAAATGGAATCTCCAGCTCTAAATTGCAGTGCAAGAATTGCTCCAAAAGCCAAATTTCTATATATCACTTTGGATTTGGCTTCTAATTAGCGAAACTTCCGCTAACATAAACATACATTAAATTAAATGAGCGTATTTAACAAGGAAGAAAAAAAAATCAAAATATAGATGAAGTTCAGGTAATTAAGATATTGTGAGGCGTGTAATGATCAGAATGAATGAATACAAATCCTGTAATTCGCTCGCTTCTCCCCCTCTCCTTCATGTGACATCCGTGTTGACTTTCTCACAAAACCTGAAATGCATTCCATTCTTTTTTCTCACTTTTGATTTCCGTGAGACCCTATTGGACTTTTCCTATAGGATACCCTTTGTTAAAATTTTTGGAGTTGAGCTTCTCATGTCACGTGAGTTTAAGGGTCTCAATTATTTATAACAAATCAACGGTTATAGTGACCGCATTGAGATCAATAAAAAGTGGGGGAAAATAACCGTTGATTTGTCTATGTACGACTGAGATTATTTCACAAGAGAAGATCAAAATATATATATATATATATATATATATATATATATATATATCAATCTATACAACATGACTAACAAATTAAACTTGATTAAACCAAAAGTAACAACCATGGCCAACCATCCCCCAATCAAAACCCTCAAAGAGGACTTAACAATCTACGACATGACCAACAAGCTTGATTAAACCAAAAGTAACAACCATGGCCAACCATCCCCCAATCAAAACCCTCAAAGAGGACTTAACCAAGGGTACTTTACCTAAAACAGCACCCAACCCTCCAAAAACCAACAAAGCAATGCTTACAACAGCCGCCACTACCCCCAACCTCACCTTGTAATCTTCAATAAACACCGCCCCAAACAGCGGCACCGCCGCTCCGACGGCGAACGAAAGGCCTGAAGCTAGGGCAGCTTGAAATGGATTTGGTAACTTCTCTTCGTGTGTCTCTTTTCCTTCTCTTATCATCTGAGCAACCTCAATATCACACTGTGCATAAACAGAAACAAACTCTCCAATGGCCATGCTACAAGCCCCAGCTACCAACCCAGCAACCCCAGTTAGCATCATGGTCTTAATATCCTGTCGAACAGCTCCAACACCTATCATGAGGGATGCAGTTGAGATCAAACCATCATTGGCACCCAATACAGCTGCTCGAAGCCATTGTGCCCTTTTGGCATAGTCAAAAACCTCTATCTCTCTCTTTTCTTCTCTCTTTCGTTCCACATCGATTAAGTGGAACATTTTTGTAGGGCTGGCTTCACTTGAGGTTACTGGATTATTGTGGCATGGTTTAATGTCTCCCATAGATGCAGAATGAAAAGAGAATGATGAGATGAGAAATGTGTTGGCGTGTGGAGGGAACGCGGTCTTGGGGATGAGGCTATTTATGGATGGAAATCAAATGCGTTCATACGTACTGTAAAGGGAAGTTGCCACCAACTCGATAGTCTTTTATACATTGATCAGAAACGACGTAGATTCAGGGACAAAAGTTAACAAGAGTTGTACAAATCATTGTGTTGGTTTTGTCTTTTGTGGGTTTGTTTTATTGGCATATATGATCCTCTTACACATAATTGCCGTTTCAAAATGCTAGTTATTATTATTTTATTTTTTTGTAATAAAATGCTAGTTATTTATATGTTAATAACATCATATTATTTTTGTGTGTTTTTTAATTTAAAAAATACAAATGAATGCGTTAGAAAATATTATATCATTTTTTATGTCCTTATTTTTATATTTTTTATGTCCTTATTTTTATATTTTTTATTTAATTAATTTTTCTAACTAATTTACATTTTTCTTCTTTTCTGTAATTTATTTTTTCTTGTATTTTTTATTTACTATTATTATTCAATTTTTTTATTTTTTATTTTTTCCACAATTTTTTATTACTTTTTATTTGGATTCACTAATTGTCATTCTGCCAACTCCAATTAACTTGGAATAAATATGTTAATGATGTTAATGCATTTAAAAAGAAATAAAAAGTGTGATAAAAATAAGAGGCAGTGTTTAGGATTGGCTCGTAACTCGTCAAAAATGAGCCAGGTTGAGTTGGTAAAAATGAGCTGCCAACCCGGCTCGTTTCAACCCGTGAAAAAACGAGTCAACCTGCGGGTCAAACGAGCCAGTTTGCCGGTTGAGTTTTTTTTATTATACAAAAATACAAAATATTATATACAAAAATGGACAAAATCCACACATGTTGTCATCATTTTTTCTTCCTTCTCTAAACCTAAGTCCCTAATTTTCACATCCCTGCCATTTTTATATTGTTAGGCTGTGCTGGCTCTGTTTGGTTCAAATATCTTACCCACTTGGTAGTAAGTGGTTCTGATTATTTTCTTGATGTTGATGCAAATTTGTTCTGAAGAAAATTCAAAACTAAAATATTTTATTTTTATTTCTTATTGTGTAACCCTTTGTTTAAACTAATATTGGAAGCCACATAGCTAGTGCATTAATATTACAGGGTCATTTAAATAGGCTGATTTCGAGCCAACCCACGAGCCATATTTTTGAGCCAACCCACAAGTCATATTTTTGAGCCAACCCGCGAGTCAACCCTAACCCGACTTGGGCCGGGTTGGGTTGGGTTTTCTGGCTCGTTTTTTTTTTGAGCCAACCCTAATCCGTCTCATTTTTTTTAGATTGAATGCGGATTAGGCCGGGTCGAGCCGGGTTAGCCCGTTTTACCAACCCTAACAGTGTTTAACACTATACAAGTCACTTTCTCAATCCTAATCATCGATGTACAGTTGCATCCAATGACGCACAACATTAATAAATTAGAATCATTAAATACAAGTAGATCAATCATTAAAATATTCTTATTGTATTTCATAACCATATTATTACTTCATTAAAATAGTTATTTTTGGTGTGGACATTAAAATAGTTTAACTATATGAAAAAAAGTATGCGCAAAGCCAATTTTTTTTAATAATATAGCAATATATAATTATATGATTGTGAAGAAATATATAATTATAATGGCATTCAAGGGATTGTGCATGTAAGATTAATATATGCATAGTAAAATAGTAAAAAGATGATAATATATAAAAAAATTCCATATATTAATAATAAATTAACATTAAACTCCCTTTAACAATTATTAATAAATATATAATTGATTATATTATCCAGGGATTAAGGACAATCTTCGGTGGGTTATAATTTACTTATATTAGTATGATATTATTTTTTCTTAGATGAATTTATATGAAAAATGGCTTATATACCCCGAGATTACTAAACTAATTATAGAAATATTCAATCCGTTTTTTTTTTTCTTTTGTGGTAATAACAATCGAGTTTTTTTTATATCACACAAATCTCCCTTATAGTGTTATTTCAATTCGTGAAATAATAATTGCCTGTATACACTATCTAGAAGAATTCAAATAGGATAGTTATATCTATCTTAATTATGAAATTCAAAATAAAAGAGGCTAGTCTGCACTTTCATCTGTTTTATGTGAGTAGCCGGGGATTTTTTTTAGATTCCGAGAAAATTAATATTAGGAATCCTATTTATCCATGTTTGGTATAAGGATTGTGAAATTTTTTTTGAAAAAAAAATCAAATTCTTAGGATTTAAAATTATGAAAAGGATACCCAACAAAGAATACCACGGCATGTGGGTGGTATTCTTTGATTCTAACCCGGTAGGAAATTTTTTCAAATTTTTTCGGACAAAAATACCTCTTCCTCGGTAGAGAAGTTCGATAGTTGCTACATTAGGAGAATTAAAGGTACAGCTCCATAGCAGTTACATTAGGAGCATTAGGAGTAGCTTTTATTAGGAGAATTGAAGTGGCAATTGTTAGCCATTGACGTGTCATTGAATTAGGCATGAAACGGTTTAGGAGTTTGGGGTCCATGTATTAAAGGCATAACTGTAACCGATGAGAATTCATTCAAGAATTAATCAGAAACGTTATTCTTTTGTTCTTCTTGTTCTTGCTCCGTTGTGAGGGTTTGCGTCCCTTAACATTGGTGCTTTCATCATTGTGAACTTGCCATTTTTCTACAAAATCCATGCTTTCTTCTTGTTGAACTCATTTTCGTTCTTCAAGATGCAGGATGAATTTAGGGCTTCTCAACCCCATATTTCAACTTCACCTTCCATTGCAACACTAGTGGATAATCTCGTTGTCGCCATTACAAACCTTGCACGATGTAGCACAGAGATGTATGCTGATTTTGCAAGTTTTAGGAACGAGATGCGCGCCGACTTCGCCAAGATTAAAGCTAATTTCGCAAAGGTTAGTACCCTAGCTTCTACAATGAGTTTCGATGGCAGTGTCCCAGTTTCGGAAGATGCTATTAGTGTTGATGTTTCCGGTTCTGGAGTTAATCAAGAAATTCAAGAGATGGATGCTGTGGCGCATCAGTGTATTGCAATAACTCCAATTTTGATTGATGTGGAAGCTAAGTCAGTTGATTCCTTTTTGGTTGGGTGTAAAGTGCAAACTGGTGCCCTTCCTTGGCTTGACGATCTAAGTTTGATGGCCATATACTGTGTCTCTGATGATATGGTAGCTGCAAGACACATGTTTGATGAAATGTCTGACCTAAGTACAAGGTCTTGGTACATGATGATACCTGACCCTTTGCTTTATTGGGACCCTGGAGGATTTCTTTTAACCCTCGTAGAGAACATGCTGGATATTGGACGAATAAGTCTTCCGCATGAAGACGCCAAGCCATATAAACTTGATCTCGTTCTTAAGAAAGGAATTTGCCTCTATGGTGCATAGATTTCTCCTAAATCTGTAAGTGTTGGCTTAACAGAAGCTTCCTTTACAAGGTTCCTTACTTTTACTTGGGATCCAAAAGGTTTCTTTGCTCTTTCTTTCACATTGAACCTTGAGGACAGGGTTCCTTTACAAGATGGGGTGAATGATGTAAGCATCAGTAGCAGCAGAAAGATGATACAAGTAGCCATTGTAGTTATATTAACATTCACCATAGAAGATGAGCAACCAGAGGTCCAAGGTCGAGTGTTGATGTTAACCAAAAAAATAATTGCAACAAAAAGTCAAAATGGGAATAATGGAGTTTCTTATACACAATATCTCAATAAGTTGCATGGCCTTATCCAAGTGGAAAAGTTAACTTGCTGGATGATCACTGGGGAGAGACAGGCTGCAAAAATAAGAGGTTTACACCTTCAAACAATTTTGAGGCAAGATGTTAGTTTCTTTGATGAGGAAACTAATACTGAAGAGGTTGTTAGAAGGATATCAGGTGATATTGTTCTTATTCAAGATGCCATGGGTGAGAAGGTCGGACAATTTATACAGTTAATAGCAACTTTCTTGGGAGGTTTTGTAATAGCATTCATCAGGGGATGGCCTCTAACAGTTGTCATGCTATCTTGTATTCTACTTATTCTAATGAGCATGGTTATTGCAAAAGCATCATCCAGTGGACAAACAGATTATTCTACAGCAGCAAGTGTAGTAGAGCAGACAATAGGTTCTATCCAAACAGTTGCATTATTCACTGGGGAGAAGCAAACTATAGCTAAATATAATCAGTCCTTGATCCAAGCTTACAAGACTGGAGTGCAAGAGGCAATATCTTATGGTCTGGAGTTTGGTTCACTCTTTTTTGTTTATATCTCCACTTATGTTTTGGCTGTATGGTTTGGTGGGAAAATGACAATAAGGAAAGGATATACTGGAGGGAAGGTTGTGACTGTAATTTTTTTTGATTTGACTGGCTCCATGTCTCTTGGGCAGGTTCTTCCAAGCTTTGGTGTTTTTGCTGCAGGACAAGCTGCAACCTTTAAGATGTTTGGAACAATTAAAAGGAAGCCAGAAATTGATTCTTATTATGATACAGGTCAGCAACTTGGTGAAATTCGTGGAGAAATAGAACTTAGGAAGGTTTGCTTTAGTTATCCTACAAGACCTGATGAAATGATCTTAAATGGATTTTCTCTTTCAACACCAAGTGGCACTACTGTAGACGAGACAATTAAGGGAGGCACTTTCAATGAATTTGTACCAGATTCTGCAGCTATTGCTTCAAGCATCCAATATCATGCTGTGTTCACCACATCTTTTTCTCCAGAGAAGTTAGAGCTCAGTAAGGCTCTCTTTGCAACTGCAGAGAGTGTCCGTGACTCCCTCATCATAAATTGGAATGCAACATATGACTATTATGAGAAGATGAATGTTAAATAAGCTTATTATATGTCTATGGAGTATCTACAGGGTAGGGCATTGCTGAATGCAATTGGGAATTTACAACTCTCAGGTCCTTATGTTGAGGCTCTCAAAAAGCTGGGTCACAATTTACAGGATGTGGCTAATCAGGAGCCAGATGCTGCCCTTGGGAATGGGGGACTAGGTCGACTTGCTTCCTGCTTTTTGGACTCCTTGGCAACGCTGAATTACCCTGAATGGGGATATGGACTTAGATACAAGTATGGTTTATTCAAACAACTTATAACAAAGGATGGTCAGGAGGAAGTTGCTGAAAGCTGGCTTGAGATGGGAAATCCCTGGGAAATCTTAAGAAATGATGTCTATTATCCAGTTAGACTCTATGGAGAAGTTATTTCAGGGCCAAATGGAAGTAAACAGTGGATTGGAGGAGTAGCTTTTATCTGGACTGGCTCTCCATCCTGAAAGTAGGAATCTGCCTGTGCATTTGAATGAAGAGATAAAGTCTTTCAAAAAGAAAAAAAATACGCAGCATGTGCAACCTATATAAAAAAAAGGATTTCTAGTTCTTTTTTTTCATTGGGACCTTGAGGACAAGGTCCATTTTTTAGGGGAAGGCAATGTTACATTAGGAGAATTAAAGGTACAGCTCCATAGCAGTTACATTAGGAGCATTAGGAGTAGCTTTTATTAGGAGAATTGAAGTGGCAATTGTTAGCCATTGACGTGTCATTGAATTAGGCAGGAAACGGTTTAGGAGTTTGGGGTCCATGTATTAAAGGCATAACTGTAACCGATGAGAATTCATTCAAGAATTAATCAGAAACGTTATTCTTTTGTTCTTCTTGTTCTTGCTCCGTTGTGAGGGTTGTGTGACTATATATCTCAACACGCCCCCTCACGCAAGAGCCCTTTGGGCTAGAAGCGTGGAATTGCACAAGCCCAATTTTTGGTTTTACCTTTTTGTGCTTTTTATTTTTAATTCCACTTTTTTAAAGTGGGAGGCGGTGAGGGCTCAAGCTCTGATACCATGTAAAGAACCACTTTGTAAAGAACCTTGGGATACACCACCCCAAAAGCTAGCTCAAAGGGTGGGAGTGCCCAAGGCCTTATAAAGGTCATATTAGTTGCCCACACAATCAATGTGGGAATATATATCTCAACATGGTCTTTTTAATACTTTATATTTTATTCTCTAACACACCCCCTCATGCAAGAGCCCTTTGGGCTTGAAGCGTGGATATAACACAAGCCCATTATTGGTCTGCCTTGTGTTGCACAAGCCCATTTTTTTGGTCTGCCTTGTACTTTTCTTAATTCCACCTGAAAGTGGGGGACAGTGAGGATCGAACTCGTGACCTCATGGTCCCTGAAGCTCTGATACCATGTAAAGAACCTTGGGATACACCACCCCAAAAGCTAGCTCAAGGGGTGGGACTGCCCAAGACCTTATAAACTTCACATTAGTTGCACATACAACCAATGTGGGACTATATATCTCAACAATCATTTTTCATTGATGATTTGGGTTGGTGCATTTTGTATGATGTTTCAGATGTTAAAGAAAATTGTTCAGTGCAATGAAACACTTGAAAACCTAGGTTTTTGGATCTATTTTTGACTGTTGATTGTGCAGTAAGCTTCAGAGTGATGCTCTAAGAGAAGCTATCTCAAGAATCATGGCTGATTCCAAGGAGAAAAATCGTAAATTTGTGGAGATCATTGAACTCCAGATTGGGCTGAAAAACTATTATCCACAGAAGGATAGTGCTTGAAGAACATGAAAGACTGGAAGGTGAGGTCTCACACTTATATAGGGTAGTTTTATAAAATTACCTCAGATTCCCAATAATATTTCATAATCAACCAATTATAGAATCAGGAAACTTGAAACAACATTTCTGGTAATATTTTGGCCTACCAAACAACATTTTAGTAACATTCATGAAAAATTCACTTTATCGCCATATTCCTGGAAATCAAACAAAAAAAATTCTCCTCTACCAAGCATTCTCTTGGGATATGGCATATTTTATGCAATTGGTGCCATATTCATCTTTAATTACTAGCTAATTATTGGCAAAAAAAAATTAATTTATTTCTTTTTTAATAAAAAATTACGAAAAAATAGTCGTTTTGAAAAAAATTACGTAGAAATATGTAGATCGCCATCGTGAATGTCTGTGCCCGCAACAGGGGCAGTCCCAAAAACATGCTGACAAATTGCGGTCCAATCCAAAGCTGTAGGTCCGGTAACTGCCTGCCCGTCAGTAGGCAAGCCAAGTATATCAACCACGTCCTGTAATGTGATAGTCATCTCTCCCTGCGTCATGTGAAACGTATGTGTCTCTGGTCTCCACCGCTCAACCAAAGCACTGATCAGGGCGGTATCGATCTGAAAGAAAAACAATTATAGAAAGTGGCTGTAACGGTAATTTCATTAAGTAATTTAAAAATATACATACCTGAATATGACTCATACATGCCACGTGTATGAAGCCAGCCTGGGTCAAATAATCAGCGACGATGTCTGGTATATCATCATGACGAGGTTCACCCTGTAGTTTGTCGCGCCTCGTCTTTAACCCCCTTACCTTGTCCTCGTTGTGAAACATATATGCGCTGCGTCCTCTTACGCAGTACCTCCCACCTATATGTTCCAGGAAGTACATGTGTACAAGGATCAGATGGCTCAACATCACCATCGAATCCAGAGCGCGGCGACTCTGACGAAGACGAATGGGCGATAATAGGATACTAATACAGATGAAAAAATTATACACAAATTACTATTGATATTATATTAAATTACACTGAATGAGATTTAATTGCACTTTATTAAATAGCATTTAATTGAATTGAGTTAAGTTATATTAATTTCAATTAAATTAACGTCAATAAAACTAAATTATAGAACATTACATCATTCTAATTTATATTTAAATAGACTAAATAAATTAAAATCAATTTAAATTAATATTGCCTACTCTATTATTTTTTTGCACACTTTAATTACAATGTAGTTAATTGAAATGTCAATATGTTCATATGTGTCATTCATATAAAATTATTAATTGTCTCTAACTAATTTCTAAGTCTCTAACTAAATTCTAAGTCTCTAACTAAATTCTAAGTCTCTAATCATTCTCTTACATAAGTCACTAATATTTTTCTAACCTACTAACAATTATCTAAGTCACTAATAACTATCATATATTTATTGCTGTTAATAAAAAACATAAACAAAAAACATAAACAAAAAACGTAAACAAAAAATTGGGACTTACATGAGAGAGACAAAGCTTCACTGTGCAAAACGCTCCAGAAGAAATGTAGAGAGAAGTTGGAGGAAGGTTTAGAGAGAGGATGTGAAGGAAGAAATGAGGAAAAAATGGAAAATGAGCTATTTATAGACCAGGGAGGTCACGCCCCTGTTGGGCGTGTGTCTCTTCTGGTCACACCCATCTTAGGCGTGTTTGCCCAGCAGGTCACGCCCCACATGGACGTGTCTCTCTCCAGTGCAACACGCCCCACGTGGACGTGTTTGATTGCTATATTTTCGTAATTTTTTTCAAAATGACTACTTTTTCGTAATTTTTTATTAAAAAAGAAATAAATTAATTTTTTTGCCGCTAATTATTATTTTTAGTCTCTCCAACTTGATTCTTTGATATCACCGAACCGTGCACATAAATTTTTAGACAAGCACAATAGGATTAATGTGTATTTTAGGGACCTGATAGCATAAGACCTGATTGTATAAGACCTGATAGTATAAGACCTGATTGTATTAGACCTAATTAAATTTTAATATTATCCAGCATTTGGTGTGGTATTGTATAAGATAATATCCTCCAATATTTTAAAAATTAATATATTAAAAAAATTATTTTAATATATTAATATTGAAATGATATATTAGTTCTTGAGAATTGTACTTGTAAGCAATATTAATACATCAATCCCTTATCAGGCCTAATCTCACCCCCCTTTATGTCTGATTAAATCAATGGCGGACCCAGTACATTTTATCTATGTCTGCAAGTTTATTGTGGGGGATTTGCCCTTGAAAATCTGTTTTTGAAGAAAGTTTTAAATACATTAAAATAAAAATAAAAATTATGGTCAAGTGCAAACAACCAAATTTAGTAGCAACGAAATGACAGTGTGCAACAACTGTAGAAAATAAAATTTCATATACATGATCTTGGAATCCTCTATTTCTTGCAAAAAAAATTGTTCTTTATCCAAGCGTTCAACACAACAATCCTAGAGATCTAAAAGTAACAAAGCAAACCCTAAATCCAGATAATTTAACTTAGAACTCTAAACACTGAAGTGGGTTGCTGCTAAAAATCAAGAAAAGATCAAACACGGGAAGGAAGAAAGGAAAAAGACGGCGAAACAAAAAAGAGGGAGAAAAAAGTGGAAGTAGTTTATATCACTTAGTAACAAAAGTCATTGGAACTAATGGCAACCCATCTCTCTGTTCCTAAAAGTGAATCATTAAGCTCACTGAGACAAAACTACTAGCAGCAAAAACAACCCTGTAATGATAAATAAATAAAGCACTTGCAGACACTTGCTACTGAATAGGTCCGCCACTGGATTAAATTATACATTATTTTGATGTATTAAGAGGTTATGTTGTATAAACTTATATTATACTATGATCACACCAAATAACTGAAAATATCATAACGTATAGTATAAGCTTATACTATCAAGTTTTATACATCACACCAAACAGGTACTTAGTATGTATATTTTTGTGGTTTCGAGTTTTAAAGTCCATGTGATTGTTTACTTGACAACAGTTAATGAAAATATCCTAAATTTTAACCACACTGCAGATTCGGTTCTTATATATAGTCCATTATTACATATATGAACAAGTTATAGAAGGCTATGACTTAAACTTATTTTTACCTACTTTAACTTAGTTTTTTAATAAATAAGTTAAGATTGGACTTTAAAATGATATATTTATAAGAGTAAGCCAAAACTTAAACTAAAAAAAAAAATCTATTTAACTTATTGCGCCCTTTCTTGTTTATTTATTATTTAAATATATAAGTAATAGTTTATAATACTAGTATAATTTATTAATTATGATTATGATAACATATTAATTTTATGAGAAATATAATATTTACTAAAGGATTATATCAATTTGAAATTTAAAAACTGAGTATAATGGAATAAGCTTTTAAAAGCTTTTAAACTAGGCCATATTATTACTTTTCAAAAAGGATAATTAGACAAAGTCTTAAAAAATAGATTACAATAAGTAATAGGTCAAGTTCAACCTTACATTTTACAAAATAGGGCTAGATTTATATAAACAAAATCTATCCTTACCCACTACTAGAAAAGTTATTATTTTCGACGGAAAAAAACTCCGTGGAAATTACTCACAAAATTTTCGACAGAATTCATTTATCGTTGAATTTTTATACGGAAAATAGATTCCGTCGAAATGTTTTCGACGGAAAATGGATTCCGTCGAATATTTTTGACGGGATTTGAATTCCGTAGAAAAAGGATGAATAAAATAAATGCAAAAGAAATTAATTTTGTGTAGTTTTTCGACGGACAAAGAATTCCGTCGAAGATTTTTGACGGAAAAATAATTCCGTCGAAGATTTTTGACGGAAAACTAATTCCGTCGAAAACGGGTTAATAAAATAAATGGAAAAGAAATTTATTTTGTGAAGTTTTTTACGGAAAAATAATTCCGTCAAAAACGGGTGAATAAAATAAATGCAAAAGAAATTAATTTTGTCAAGTTTTTCGACGGACAAAGAATTCCGTCGAAGATTTTTGACGGAAAAATAATTCCGTCGAAGATTTTTGACGGAAAACTAATTCCGTCGAAAACGGGTTAATAAAATAAATGGAAAAGAAATTTATTTTGTGAAGTTTTTTACGGAAAAATAATTCCGTCAAAAACGGGTGAATAAAATAAATGCAAAAGAAATTAATTTTGTCAAGTTTTTCGACGAAAAAATAATTCCGTCGAAGATTTTTGACGGAAAACTAATTCCGTCGAAAATGGGTGAATAAAATAAATGGAAAAGAAATTGATTTTGTGAAGGTTTTCGACGGAAAATAGATTCCGTCGAAAACGGATGAATAAAATAAATGGAAAAGAAATTGATTTTGTGAAAGTTTTCGACGGAAAAATAATTCCGTCGAAGATTTTTGACGAAAAATGAATTCCGTCGAAAACGGATGAACAAAATAAATGGAAAAGAAATTCATTTTGTGAAGTTTTTCGACGGAAAATTGATTCCGTCGAAAACGGATGAATAAAATAAATGGAAAAGAAATTGATTTTGTGAAAGTTTTCGACGGAAAAATAATTCCGTCGAAGTTCTTTGACGGAAAAGGAATTCCGTCGAAAACGGATGAATAAAATAAATGGAAAAAAAAATTGATTATGTGAAATTTTTCGACTGAAAAATAATTCTGTCGAAGATTTATGACGGAAAACAAATTCCGTTGAAAATGGGTGAATAAAATAAATGGAAAAGAAATTGATTTTGTGAAGGTTTTCGACGGAAAATGGATTCCGTCAAAAACGGATGAATAAAATAAATGAAAAAGAAATTCATTTTGTGAAGTTTTTCGACGGAAAAATAATCTCGTCGAAGATTTTTGACGGAAATTGAATTCCGTCGAAAACGGATGAATAAAATAAATGTAAAAGAAATTCATTTTGTGAAGTTTTTCGACGGAAAATTGATTCCGTCGAAGATTTTTGACGGAAAACAAATTCCGTCGAAAACAGATGAATAAAATAAATGGAAAAGAAATTGATTTTGTGAAAGTTTTCGACGGAAAAATAATTCTGTCGAAGATTTATGACGGTAAACAAATTCCGTTGAAAATGGGTGAATAAAATAAATGGAAAAGAAATTGATTTTGTGAAGGTTTTCGACGAAAAATGGATTCCGTCGAAAACGGACGAAAAAAATAAATGAAAAAGAAATTAATTTTGTGAAGTTTTTCGACGCAAAAATAATTTCGTCGAAGATTTTTGACGGAAAATGAATCCGTCGAAAACGGATGAATAAAATAAATGGAAAAGAATTTCATTTTGTGAAGTTTTTCGACGAAAAATTGATTCCGTCGAAGATTTTCGACGGAAAATGAATTCCGTAAAAAATGGATGAATAAAATAAATGAAAAAAAATTGATTTTGTGAAAGTTTTCGACGGACACGAGAGTCATGGAGTTCATGGAAAGAGTTTTTGTGGTGCATTCTGGATTTTACAGGACACGAGAGTCATGAAGTTCATGTTTGAAATTTAACTTTTGTGTTAATTTGCAGCTGACTGGTAATTACTGCATTTAAGGTACGTATATGTAATTGAATCATTGTTATACAAGTTTTGGTATTGCTAGGTTCATCCATACACTAAATCCTTGCATATAGCCATCGTTGAAATAATTCCTTATATGATATTTATATTTGAAGCTTTTCTTAGCATTTTTAACTACTTTGATACGGAGCACATGATTAGGCCCTACCACCTCATCATTTTTTAATAAATTGAAATACACTACCAACAATTTTTTACAAAAAATTTACTCTTATTAGGAATATAACATTTCAAAGTTAATCCAAGGGCACAACTCTTAAACCTATGGATTGCACAAAATAACCTCAACACAAGCAGGGGCTTCACTCCTTTGCTGATAATCATTGATTATTCTCTTGCAGCACATTTAACTCTATGGCAGGATCAGATGATAGGATTTGGATGTACAACCGCATAAATGGTTCAAGGTCAATCACTTTACAATTCCAGCATGGCATTGAGAGGTTCATACAGTTTGCTATAGAACATAGCACCAACTCAATGACTGAGTTCCGTTGTCCTTGTAAAAAGTGCAAGTGTGTGAAATTCCTTAATGCAGACACATTGAGGGTGCATTTGTGTAAGTACGGCTTCATGCCTGATTATTGTTGCTGGTCGAGCCATGGAGAAACTCCGCCAAATTCCCCCCCAGTGGTTGACAGACACTCATATTATGGTGGAAGTGGTAATCGAGATAACTATGAACAATATGAGCAATTGGTCATAGATGTTGCAGGTCCACATATTGGCACGCACCTACAGGGTGACACAGATGAAATTCAACAGTTAATGCATGAAGATCCTAATCCGGAAGCACAACAATTTTTCAACATGCTTCAAGCTTCCCAACGTCCATTGTGGGATGGTTGTGAGACACACACTACCTTATCTACTTGTCTAACAGCCCTAAGCTTGAAGACAAATTATCAAATGACTGAGGGGTGCTTCAATCAATGGATGAAGTTTGTTGGAGATGTCTTGCCAAAAGGGCATTCGCTGCTAAAAGATTTTTATAATGCAAAAAAATCGGTGAAGAATCTCGGTCTTAAAGAAGAGAAGATACATTGTTGCCCTACTGGATGCATGTTGTTCTATAAAGAACATTCTGAACTCAATACTTGCGAAATTTGTGGGGAAAATCAATATAAATATGTAACAAAAAATGGAAAGGTGAAAACTTCACCATTAAAGAAAATGTGGTACTTTCCCCTGGTACCTAGGCTTCAAAGATTATACTCTTCAGTGCAGACAACTTGTCAGATGAGATGGCATCGAGAGCATGAAAGAAATACTGATTCGTTGACACATCCATCAGATGCCGAAGCATGGTTGCACTTTGATGAAAAACATAATGATTTTGCTCAGGAACCCCGTAATGTCCGACTTGGCTTATGTTCAGATGGGTTTGCTCCTTTTGATCAGACAGGGAGGACATATTCTTGCTGGCCAGTTATTATTACTCCATATAATCTACCACCATGGATGTGCATGCGGAGAGAGTTCTTGTCCTTGTCATGTATTATCCCTGGGCCTTCAAACCCAAAGCGTAACATTGATGTGTATCTGAGACCTCTGATAGATGAATTGAAAATGCTATGGACTGATGGGGTCCTAACATATGATGTTTCATTGAAGCAGAATTTCGTGATGCGGGCTGCTTTGATGTGGACAATTAATGAATTTCCTGCGTATGGTATGTTGTCTGGTTGGCAGACAATGGGGAAGCTTGCATGTCCTATTTGTATGGAACAATGTAAAGGGTTCAGGTTGCAACATAGTCGTAAAGTATCATGGTTTGACTGTCACCTTCCTGCCATTGAATCATCCTTACAGGAAAAATAAGCATGCGTTCATAAATGGCAGGGAAGAAATATCAAATATACTACAAAGGCTTAGCGGGGAAGAAGAATGGCTAAGAGTGAGATACAGGTCGACTGCAGAGGAAGTTCCAGTCTTTGTTGAAGATCAGGAATATGGGCAATATCACCATTGGACAAAGCGAGCTATATTTTGGGAATTGCCTTATTGGAAAGATCAATTATTGAGACACAATCTTGATGTCATGCATATTGAGCGAAATGTGTTTATGAATATACTGAACACAGTGATGGACACAAAGGGCAAAACAAAAGATACCAACAATTCAAGGAAGGACCTTCAGATCCACTGCAAGCGACCTCTCCTACATTTAGTGGTTCATCCAAATGGAAAGGTTAGTAAGCCCAAAGCTAATTACACCTTCAATAAAGAGCGACGAATTGAGTTACTACAGTGGGTGAAAGATCTTAAATTCCCCGATGGCTATGCATCCAAGATGTCCCGATGTGTTAATATGAGAGAGGCAAAGTTATTTGGGATTAAGAGTCACGATTGTCATATCTTCTTCCAGAGATTGCTACCATGGGCATTCAAAGCATTACCTAAGCCTATTTGGAATGCACTGATTGAGTTAGGAGTCTATCTTAAGGACATATGTGCATCTCAATTGAGTGTGACAAAATATCAAGAGATGGAATTGAATGTCCCAATAATGATATGCAAGTTGGAGATGTTTTTTCCGCCTAGTTTCTTTGACTCAATGGAGCATTTGCCAATACATTTGGCATATAAAGCTAG